ATACATTCCTATTTCAAGATCTTTCATAGATTTGATGCATGCTTCTTTTAAGTCCTGATTCCAGAAATCATCCATATTTAAGAAGGCCACTTAAGCATGTGCTTAGGTGCTTTCCTGAAATGGGGCCTTAGACTTTCCCACCCTACTATCTCTTCCTCTCCACCACAGGTGGCAGCTTTTCCACCTCTCTGCCCTGACCATCTGAACAGCCTTTTTAATTCTTTAACATTATCTTTACTTCACACTCTGTGGTCAGTCAGTCTGTCTCCCTCTCTCACCTCTGTATGTCTAGTAAGTCTATGTATTGTATGTAGAATACAAATGTGAAGTCGTATTGAACAAGCCACCTAACATTCACCCTATAATTTGTCCTCGCCTATCGTCAACCCTTTCTTACCACATCAAGACCTGTGCTGCGTTTTACTGATAAGTGCAGGAATATACCACACAAAGGGGTGAACTTTTGATATGAAAGATACTGTGTAAAACATACATTGTCTTATTATAAATCTCCATTTTAGTAAGGTTGGAAATAGCTGATTTAAGAGGTTATCTGAGCTTTTATTTGTGTATAAATTGCAACCTGGGAAAATACGTACAAGTCATATGTATGCACATCTCTCCCTCACACATGCACACATATACACCCACAAAACTGCAATAATTGATGTCCTATCCAGCTTGTTTTGTTCTTTTTAATGCTGATGTAACATCAGGCACATCACACAATTTTTGCTTGCTTGTTTTCTTTGGTTTCAAACCACTTAAGCATTTATTTACCTTACAGGCTAGACTGATTTTGAAAGAGCCTCTCTAATCACTCAAGTCAATAATACACATTTTTAAAGAATGACTAATGTATTTACCCAAGAGACCAGTATAGCTGTGAACGAGCCTTTCCAGTCTGTTGGATAGATAAATATGCATTTTATAAATTCCATGGAAGGATTCTTGGTTTTTCTTTATGCATGAAAAAGAAAATGAGAGACTAGCAGAAAAAAAAATATTAAACCTATGATATAGATTCGCTGTTAAAGGGATGCTTTCAAATAACTGTGTATGTTTTTTCATTTTTATTTTTTTGCTTTCCATTCTCTCAATATCCTGTTAGACTCTTGTAAGTATAAATACTTTTCCTGCAGATTTTTCCTTTCTCTATTTGGTAACTGCTTCCCACCCCTATTTTTGAATGGGGCTGCCATGAACATGACTATTCATTTCACAACTTCAACCATATATCAAAGCATCTTTATTTATGCATCTGATCATGTGCAAAACTCTGGGAAATGATATTATCATCTTTTTGCTTGCACAACCTGCCCATACAGAACTAAACATCATTTGAGAAGGCCACGCAAAAAAAAGGGGTACTGTCAAATTACTCATTGATGAAGTAGTTGATTTCCCCCACCTTATTTTAACAGCTTCAAGGCAAAATAAATGTGTGGCCTGGGAAGCCTGATACTTGTTGTCCTTTTAAGCCTGATGCTCAATGATGACTTTGTCTTTGCGCGGGATTCTATTTTATTATTATTATAGTTTATTATCTCATTCTTAAGCTATATTGTGATGTGTGTATTGACTGTTCTTGCCTTGTGTGAATTAGTACATTATAGTGGTATAAATGGTTTTTACGCCTTTTGCTTTGGGATATTTTAGCTGTAATTTTTAGAACATAATTTTAGGTCACTTTCAGAATCTCACTTGGCCTAGGTTAATTTTCACATTATTATGATTTATTTGTGTTACAGCAGCATCTACTGATTGCGTCCCGGCACTACCCAGGCACAGGCATGCACACCACTTCCCCCAAAAATAGTTTAAGATCAAAAGCTTACAGTCTTGACACAAGGCTCCATGAATACAGCACATTTACAATATCTGACATCTCTTAGGTTCTTGTCTTGGTCCTAAATGCCTGCATGTGAACAACAACATACTTTATAAAACTGGCCACTGTGTGTAATTGTAGTAGCCCAGTAACTGATTCAACAAGATAAGTAGTCTGAAAGAATCTAAGCTGCAATCCTGGATTAAATGCATACATTTACTTCTTAAGATTGGTGAAGGTTTGAACTGGCAGGAAAACATCAGGGACATGAGGAATATAATGTAATCTGATAGCAAACACACAGCAATAACATCAAAGTGGTAAATTGTTCTATTTAAGAGCTTAACTCTGCTACTCCCCTGCCCATGGAAATCCTGCAGTCTTGGAGAAAAGTGAAGAGGTGCTCTATATCATTTACCTGTGTGCATTTCTCTACATTTATTTATTTTTTAAACATTATTGATTTGATTCGGCTGACCTTGCATCTGCAAAAGTCTCACTGATTTTAGTTAAAAGTTCTGAGAGTGGAAGAGCTGTACTATAGGATGCTTAGATCAAGGGTGCAATTTATGCTCAAACTGGTAGCCAGAATTCTAGTGTCACCTCCGTTAGGTCTCGTCTTTCAATTTGCGCTGTTATTTTTGCCCAAAAAGGGCCAAAGATCATCAAATGCAGTGCATATAGAGTAAAACAACTCCTGTAAAATTGATGATCCATCCAGTTATGTATCTGTAGAGATTGTTGGAAAGGAAATGCAGCTTTCTCAGTTCTCGGACCCTTGTGCCAGTTTGAACTTCATGGCTGAAGGTTTAATCCCTAAGTATCATATCAACAATTCATTTTGTGATAGTCTGGCTGACATGCTCTCCTTCCTTATTTATTGATGTCTTCAGTCATCAGCAATGAGAGGAAAATACACTATTTGTCAAAGTGATGGTGGATTACTCTCAGTTACAGTTGATGCTGTTGTCACGTTGATGGTTAGAAAATTAAACTAAATCCTTATGAAAAGCCAAGAATGTGAACATACCGTGGATAGGAAAAAAAGATTTGAAAAAATACAGTAACTTTCTTAAAGTTGGCATATAAAAATATATAGCTGCATCTTACAAAGATATTTTTGAGTCTTGTTTGTGAAATACCAGACCATTTTAGCAAATGTGTTTTTTATTTCTTCCTTTGAAAGAAAATCTACTCCTGACTCTTCTTTTTATACACAGACACACACACACACACACACACACACACACACACACACACACACAACACCAAATTTTGAATAATAAATATTTCCAGCTGACACTAGTTTGCTAGAATTTGTCTGATTGTTTTACTCTACTTTTTAAATAAAAGATATTTTTCTTAAAAAATACAGTGAATATATGTATCCTTTCATGTATTCCAATACTTTAAATGCTTTAATAGTGATTGATAATAAGCACATTATAGTTTCATCCAGTGGGTTATGGGACATACATGCAGATGAGTCTTGAGTCACTTTTCCCACTCTATCATCTGTATAGCTGTACTCCACCTTACAGCTTTTTAACTCAGTAACCACATATCTTACCACGTTTCACCTTTGGGAGGCATTGTATATACAGCTAAAAGTAAAGAGCTGCAACCCAGCAGGGACAAGATAGCATAATGGGGATGCCAATTTGTGGTCAGATATCTGAGGAAATATTTATCTTACTTGTACTGTATTTGGCAACGGGTCCAGCAATATAAACTGCAATGAATATTTTTGGTCTTTAGCTGACAGAATATATATCACTGTGCACTGAGATTATTATTAAGGGGGAAAAAAAGATGTCCAGGGTTTCTTTGCCTCATATTTAAAAAAAAGTTTAAGGCAGCTTAAAGTTGGATCATGTCCTGAAAATGTCCCCATTTAAAATTGTAAGTATTGCTATGTTGATATATTACTGATTTTTTTTTAACTCGGTCTTTTTCTACAATTATAAGAATCAAATGTCAAGATCTTGCTTATTCACAATTCAGTAACACAGCAATAGCAACGTGTGTTGTTGATATTTAGAGAGATATACAATATACTTGATTTGGGTACTCTCTTTTTGGCACAGCTAGGCTGAGCAGCCTAAAGGAATGTGCATAGAACTGGAAGTTAGAAACTTCTGTTTGTGTCAGACTTGCTATGTGGCCTGAGGCAAATTGTATCCATTTCCCCTTCTGTAAAATGGGGATCATATAACTTACTTTCTTCCCTCAGAGGGATGTAGTGAGGATTAATTAATGTTTGTATAGCGCTCTGAAGATGGAAATCTCTTCTATATACTAGGTGGTATTATTTTCTTATATGTGCATATCTGTAATAGCTATTTCAGGTTAACATGAGATGAAAGTTATTTCAAAAGGAAAGTCCTGCCCTTGTTCACAGCCTTTGTGTTATGTCTTGAAGCCTGAATTTTCCCTATAATTTTGCAATTATTTAGTCCAGCATGGGCTATGGAAGCAACCAGCCAAAGTATAAACAAGAGATGATGCCAAGCAATTGATTAATGTGACTGTTATCAGAAATACTAAGAGGCCCAACAGAATACATCTCCAGGCCTGCCAGAAATGCTAGACACATCCTGATGTGCCATCAGTGGAGCAAAGCAGAACACCCATTGTGTTGGGGAGGGTGGGCGGGGTTACCACTAAAATAACAGAATTTCATTTCAGTAGCAGGTGGAGTTAAGGGAGAAAGGCCTTCCACTAAAGTCTGTTATTTCAGTAGCTCCATAACTGTGCTGGTATCTCTTAGTAAAAACTTCCTGATATTTCCCAGCAAGGGAAAAGAAGGGGAGAGACAAAGGTTAAGAACATGTGAGAAGTATGAACTCGCACCCTTCAGAACAAGTATGAAATTCTTCTTGCCATTGTTGTGTAGACCAAAGGTGAAGGTGAATCCCTGTAGCCTAAACGATCTCATTAGACTGTCAAGGTGACAGCTTCTGGTTTGATTGTTACTTCTTCATGTGTATGCTATTTAAGACATTTAAAGGTTGTTAATTATTTCTTCTTTCCATTTAGGGAGGCTCTCTCATACATTACAGGGCTGTTTTTCTTTAAATATATTTATTAGAATTTAACCTGGCATGTTGGGGGCTTACAGAGAAAAGCTGTATTTTTCATGGTTTACATTTTGATTTTTTTAATGCAGAGCAGATTGGACAGGAAATGTTGGAAAACCTGAGCCAAGACAGAGAGAAGATCCAGCGTTCTCGGGAAAGGGTAAGTTTGACGATAAAGAATTGTTGGTGTAGGGTTTTGTGCGCTTTGGGCAAGTTCACTGTGCAAGCAGAAATAATCCAGTACATTGATTCAAGCCTTAAATAAGTCAACTATTATATCACAATATGTAATCACCACCCATCACTACTTATTAAAAAGTAAAAGTCCAATATGGGCCTGATCCTGCAAACTCTGACTAGTACAAGTAGTCCCATTGAAGTCAATGGGTTTGCATTTGCAAAGAAGAAATTGGCCCCAATCCTGTAATCAGACCTGATAAATGTGTGTCTTGGAATTTTTTCAAGCCCAATTTGTTTTTCAGTTTCTTCCTGTTCCTGCCTGTAGCAAGGTCAAGAAGGAATGACATTTTCCTAGGAAGCTGACTGATGAGCCTCCAGTCATAAGCCATCCAAAGACCTGTTGTCAGAAATGCAAGACCTCAAATTCCTAGTACTCAGTCCCATTATATGCCTCTTAGTTACTGTTTTCAGGTCTCCATTAGATCCAAATGACAGCATATGTCTGTGGCATGAGGTCCACTTGAAGGTTGTGATCTTAGCTCACATCTCTATGTATCCCATTTTCTAAATTGTTGTTAAAAGACCAAAGATGGAGGCCATTGTCCCTCAGTGGCCAATGCCTTTGCACTACACATGCAGAGGCATCATGTTACAGAGCAAGGAGATAAGACTTTTTCTATAGGACTCAGATATGACTGCACTGGACTGGAATATTGCATTCAGTTCTTAGCCCCTCATTACTGAGAAAATATTGACTAATTGGTTGAATTTACTTATAGTAAAGTTTAAATGAGTTAGATGTATAGATAGAGGTATATAGCTTGGCTAAACATTAAATATTATAATACTTTCCCTCTGTTTGAAAAATGTAAACTCCATAGATGGGAAGGAGTGCATTAATTTAAGATTGATAGGGAGCATAACTAAAAATATTTGGAATGATCTAAGAAATTAAAGATGTAGGTTGCATATCAGGAAGAATATCCCACAAAGACATTTACTAGACTCCCAAGGAAATGGCGGGAACCACATTGCGAGAGTCATTTAATTTACCAGGAGTGGGCAGGGTTCAGAAGAATAATGGGTTTTAGAGATTAATACAAAATTATCAGTAAAATAGACAAGATTTTCTAATTCCCACCATACCACTCAACTCCTTCAGTCCCAACACCTCATTTATTTCCTTCTCCCTTCTTTCTCCTATTATTTAAAATAAACAATTTTTAAAAACTTGTGCACTTGTATAGAATTTCATTTTCTGATCTCAAAGCACCTTCCAAAAGGAAGTACTGTTATACCCATTTTGCCAAAGGTCACACAGGAAGTCTGTCAAACCTTAACCACAAGATTATCCTTCCCAATTTCACAGAAAAAGTTAACAACGTTTTTTTTCCCCAATGTATCCCAATGTATCTGTATGAATAACAGATTATTCAATATATGACCAAGACATATTATTTGAATGTCCATTTTTATCTTCACTTGCCAGCCATGCTTGAGGTTTTAGGTTTGTACATCAACAGCTAATGACATTGCAACCAGCTAAAACAGAATTCTCTGGCTTGACGTAGCTGGGTTTTTTGTCATCAGTTGTTGCACTCATTGGTGAGCCCATGTATTAGGAGGGAAATGGAGGAAGAGCTATCTTGGAAATATTTTGTTTTAGAATAAGTGCATTTATCATTTGAAAATCTGTATGTTGGGTTTTCTGCCGATGCAGAAGAGAAGAGGTTGTGCTTTTACTGTTCCTTTAGGCTGTTTGCCTATTTGGTCTAACTTTTCTTCTGCTTGTTTTTACCTTAGGAATATCAGGTCCTGACTGCCCGCATTTTGCTAGTGAACTTTGTCAGACCTGGATAGTGGCAATCTAAGAATCACTACCTTGAGCAGTGATTTTACCTTTTAGGTTTGCCAAACTTCTCCAGCAAAAAGAGGGAAGTTAGGACCTGATATTTAAAGGTAAAAAGCAGAAAACTTATTTTTATAACAAAAGGAAGGAAGGAAAACACCATATTACCCTCCCCCTCTGACCTGCTGTGTTTGAGCCTATCATTACATGTAATAAAAGAGCAACTGGAAAGCACACACATTTGCTTACATTGCCTTTTCATTCAAAGTGGGGGTGTGGGAGTGCCAATTATTCCTATCCTTCTACTTTGTTCTTCTTTAGTAGCATTTAATTAAATAATATAACCACAAAATAATTCTGTAAAATATTATATAAGACATTCATAACTAAAGGTCCTATCTGACAGTTATTTACTACTAAATGTGGTGAATGCAACTACTCTCAGTGGTGAGCATTAAACATGATAGTAAATATTTGCAAGATCAAAAAATGAAAGCTGTTCTTAATGCACCTTGTGTACTAGGTATTCAATAGGTACTGTTGGGTGTAACTTATGATAGCGAAAATTCTTCATTATCTGGAGATTTCCTCTTACAGTTGCCCTTTTACTTTTTATGGATTTATAACGCAGAATATGTTTTGTCTCCAAAACTGAAGTCTCTGATAGCAGTAAGGCATTGATTGTCCTACCTGCTGAATCATCAGGCAACCCATTAAATCTGAATTTATAATGAAGAAGTAAATGTTGGATGAAGTGTGGTAAAATTTAGAAAATAAATATATATACCCGTCTCCTTCATGAACTCTACAGACAAATCCCCTCTCTTGTGGTTAACTGTCACTCTGCCACATGAGACATGGAGGCATTCCAAGCAGTCTTTGGGAGGTGCAAGCTTCTGATATAAAGATCTAAGTAAATGAGGGTATAAAGGTTCCCCACCAACACAGTCCCTCAGTTCCTATTTTTGCACCTGCTTAAGCAGGTTGTAGAACAGTCTTCTCTCATCAAGTGTGGGGGGGGGGAAACTAACACATTTTCTAGTTTCCCTTTCACCTGCCCCTTTAGATTTCAACTGCACTGTGTCTCTGTACACGTGTGTCTCTATAGTGTTTTTATTCTTGTTCCCCTTCAGAGAAAATTGTTGTAGTTTACAATGCATTTCAAAGAAGGGCTTCCTAGAGTTGTTAGATTTTGCTGAGCTTTATTCCTGATTTTGCTATCAGTGCAGAAAAGATAGATTAGGAAACAAGACTCGATGACTGAGGTGGTTCCTTCCCATCTGATGTCTGATACTGAAATTTAAGATTGGTGCTTTTTACAATGGTAAAATAACCAGGATTAACCAGCAAATTTGTTGTCTTGTCTGTCTGTGAAGAAGACAGTAGAGGTGTGCAAATAGCTGAGTTTTTGATTCACTGGCAGTTCCAAAAATTGAAGGAAAAAAATACTCATTTCGGGTCACCCTGAAACCTACATTTTGGGCATTTTCAGTGAATAGAAACTTCCAAAAAACAATTTGGGGTCGTATTTAATGTTTTGTTCAACCCAAAATGAAAGGTTTGTTTTGATTTTAGGCATTTTTAAACATTTTCCAAAAAAACAAAGGAAACCTGGTGATAGATTCCCAAGGGGACCTAGGCACTTCACAAAACCAAGGAGGAGAGGCCTCCGTGGTAGTGCCCCACTTCTTATATCCAGTAGACCAGTGGTTGGATCACTTAGCTGCAATGTAGAAGAACTAGGTTTGAATCCCCTCTCTGGAGCACAGACTGCAACCCGAGTGCCTTAAGCACCAGGCTATTGGCTATTCTGGGGTAGCTATTCTCCAGCTATTCTCTGGGCTATTCTCTCTTAGTCTCTCCTGTTTGAGTTGTTTCACTTGGTATAAATACTTAAATATTTATTAGGCCAGAGAGATAGTGAGACTGAATCTATAGCCTCCCTTTTCTTGTACTGAAAACTGCTCTTAAATCTGACGTTTGCCTAAAATGCAGTATTTACTATAGAGCTCTATAACAAGCAAGTTAATTAAGTTCAGTTGGATATGTAGTGTTGCTGAGCACTGTTAAACCTCTACCTTTTTTCCACCAAAGGAGTGGGAAAAGCTATTATAATATAATTATAATATGATATATAATCTCCCATCTATTAGTAGTTTGCACAATCTGTAAAGTGTTTTGAGATCAGTTTCAATTAAAGTTGCTATAAACTGTAAGACTAGTCCCTACTTTCATATTTCAAATATGTAAAACTTTGCTGTAGAAGCACTATGGAAATATTTTAAAGATGTATTTTCCACTGTAGCAATAATATGATATTGTTCTGTGATATTGTTTTTCCTTCAGATTGCTTTGTCTGGAGCATCTATGAAAACAACTGAAAGAATAGTATGTGAAAAAACAAGAATAGCTAACCCTTTGGGTATCTCCTCATCCCTTGGTACCCTCATTTAACTCCCAGTAACATTCATAGGACAGATACACACAGACGACACGCGCGCACACACCCAGAAAATATAGATACCAATCTGCAATGCATTTTATTCCTCAGATATTTATTTGTAGAGCCTTTGCTTTTTGTTACATCCACTGTTGAATCTTTCACAGATTTCATCTTTATGTAAGGAAAAAAAATCTACACTTAAATTTCAGAGCTTTACTAGAATTGAATGCGAGCTAAAACTGAGGAAGATTAAACCAATATACAATAGAACTCTCTGCTGTTTGTACTTAATGTAGTGCATGTGTTTTGTTTTGTTTTTTAATATAACCCTCTTCTCCTCAGCTTAGAGAAACAGATGCAAACTTGGGGAAGAGCTCCAGGATCCTAACCGGAATGTTGCGAAGGTAAGGACAAGGTAGGGATGCCTCTGTCTCTATCTGCTTTATTATTTTTAATTATATCTCAGCATTTGGCTAACTTGCATGTTTTTTTTCCCTCACAATCCAGTACGCAGAATCTCTTGAAACTAAATATTGATGTTGGCAGAAGCATTCACTGAGGAAAAATCAGATGAGAGGGAGTTTTACCATAGGAGTTTTGCACAAACTAGGAAAAGAATTTAGGTTGGCTATAAAATAGTTTTCCATTGTATAACGCCGACAGACCCTGGTTGTCGGCAGGCGGGATTGAACCTGGGACCTCTGAAGCTTAGTGTTTGAGCCTCTACTGCATGAGCTAAAAGCTAGAGGGCCATTAGCCAAAGCTGTAGCAGACTCGTCAGTCTGTAGCTGGGCTAGGTGTCACTAGAGGGGAACAGAGCACCACGCCAAACAGGATAAGTACAATTGCATCGGAGGTGTGGCTCCTTTGTTGAACTATTTGTCATTTTTTATCCTATTCTAAAAATAGTCTGTTTAATGGAGATCCAGCACCCATTATTCCTGGGTATACAGTTGGGTGTTTTAACCTATTAGTTTAAATTTGATTGTTTTATATTTATAACACAATTTATCTTCAGAGCATAATTTAAAATAATTCATTCTAGTTTGAACATACTAGGGAGACATCCTTTTTAAAACATTGTGTTTTGAGCATGCTTCTCCTGTGTGGTGTAATATTATGGAAATGTATCCTTGGGATTTAAAGTGAAGTGTGAAGAAAAAAATTGCAACATCCTAAAAATCTACTTGGGATTTTAGGGAGGTGAGAAAGATATTCAGTGATTTCCAGCCACCTTGAATTTAAATCAATACCTTTACCAGAAAGCTTGTTTTAGCCAATGGAATCCTTGGACATAGAGTTATCTATTCAGCAAAGCAGTACACTTGTAGCACTATGATGTCTGTATTTCTAGACTTATAGTTGGCTCCATAAAGAATAGTCACCCTAATTATAGGTGGCATTGGACATGCTAGGAATGATACTTTTAAGGAATAGATTATTCATAGAATATTCCGCAAGAAGTTGATATGAGCTGACCCTTCATAAATTGCTCTTCACAACGTGCAAGCCTTTTTGTAGTGTGTATTTGTTTAAGCCAATTTGCTTTTTAAAAAAAAATCCAAAGTTCTTCTTCGAGTGCTTGCTCATATCCATTCCATTAGGTGTGTGCGCGCCGCGTGCACGATCGTCGGAAGATTTTTACCCTAGCAACACCGGCGGGTCGGCTGTGGAGCCCCCTAGAGTGGCGCCTTCATGGCGCTGAATATATACCCCAGCCGACCCGGCGCCCCCTCAGTTCCTTCTTACCGCCCCTGACGGTCGTTGGAACTGTGGAGCGCTGCTTAGCTGTTCTCCGCGCTCCCTAGCTTTGTCGTTTATTCGCAGTTATCGTTTTAGTTATAATCTTATTGTTT